CCAGAGGCTAAGGTCTGTAGCACCTTCTCAGTTACCCTGAATAGCACCAACACCTGCCTGTTTTCCCTCTCTGCAGCCTTTTTTTCCAGAGCTCAGAACACTTGACCTTCCCATGGGAGCTTGGCCCTGCCCCATACACTGGCCAGTGGCATGTTATAACTGAAGAGATATCTTACGGCTGTTCTAAAGTTAGGGTCCGTTTTTCCTTCTATGGGTCCGCAGCTGTGCCTTTGTCAGAAGGTTCTCCCTTGCTCTTGCCATCTCACTCTGCTCCGCTCTAAGGGCTGAGGCCCATCCCCTGCATGGAGGCTCTTGGCTAGGTCTTGGATTCCTGCTGCCCCCGACATTCTAGCCCACTTTCCTAGTCAGTCACCTGGGGATAGGATATTCTGTAAATCCCTGGGACCAGGGACACTGGCTGTTTGCTTCAACCTACCACCTCTCACCATTGTCCCCAAAACCTGTTCCAAGGTGTTGGATATACTTTTTCCCAGTCCTATTAACACAACTCTACCCCTCTGTTAGCACTAGAAGACCTGAGTTTATCCAGACCCTTTTCTATCTGTCCCTTTTGCTGTGGACAGCCATCCACAATTTAAGTCATCTTTGTTCAGTGGTATCATGAGAGATGACCAGAGTCCCAGCTATGTGATATACTTAAAAATTGTTTTTTATCTTTAATTGTTATTTCCCAAAATAAGACATGCTGAAAGAGGGAGAGATTATAAACACACATATACCATAATGTACACAATCTATACACAATTGTCTTATATCTGTTGTTTTCCATTTAACCCTATGTGATAGACACATTCCATGTTAGTTTAAAAATCTACCCTATGCTTATGCATACCTACAGGGTATTCCATAATTTATTTGTACCGCTTTCTATTTAACCATGATTCTGTTGAAATATACTTAAACTGGCCCTGGCTGGTGTGGCTCAGTGGACTGAATGCTGGCCTGCAAACCAAAAGGTCACTGGTTCAATTCCCAGTCAGGGCACATGCCTGGGTTGTGAGCGAGAGGCAGCCAATTGATGATTCTCTCACACACTGATGTTTCTCTCCCTCTTTGTTTCCCTCCCTTCTGGCTCTCTAAAAATAAATAAAATCTTCAAAAATTAAAAAATAAAGAAATATTTTTAAACTGAATCCAGTTTTCAGCACTATAAATAATGAGATGATATACATTCTTATACCAAATGGTACAAATATTTCCACAGGTGGAGAAGGGTCAAGACTGAAACAGAACCATTCTCTGAGTTCTATTCCTCTGGGTTCTATTGCCTGCCACCAAAGAAACCATGACTCCCAGTGCCAGAGTCTTATGAAAAGGAAAGGAACTATTTATTCAAAAGTTACACAGGTTCAGAACAATGGTAGAACTCTGTCATTACATCCTACTCCCTTTAGAAACAAAACAAAGCACCCAAAATCACACAGTCCTGCCTCCCCTTGCCAAACCAGGCCACTCAGAGTCACCACCTCTCAGGAAAAGAAATAGAAGTTCACAGCTCAGTATTCCCCCGAGTCTTAGTTGAACATTCCTGGCCTCTCCCAGCAATCTTGCTCAGCTAGGCTGCTCCTCTTAATCCAAAACTGCATGGCTCCTCCTCACAGTGGGCCGATGTGGTTCCTTCAGCATCTTCTCAAACCTCATGTCCAAAACAGCCTTCTCCATTCCCAAGCCACATGGTTAAGAAGGCAATGGCTGTCCTGCACTTGGGTTTAAATCTCGGCATGCATCTTCCTCCATAATCCCATTTCTGACTCCTCCCACAAAGGGTTACACCTGCCAGTACTCTGGTTTCTTCTGCCTTTCTTGGCTGCCATCGCCAGTCCAGGCAAGCGTGGCCCTGTGGTATAGGAACCTCCTCCAAGCCACTTGCGCAGGGTGGTAACTGAGAGACCACCTCCAGCTTCATCCCAGTTAGAGTCACACCCATCTCCCTGGCTCTGGAGCAGACACAGATATTAGCATTACTAAAACACTGGCCAAGTTCTTTAGAACTTGCAAATATGCAAAGTAGTTCTCAATGGCCCTGGTCTGCTGCTGCCCCTTCCCCAAGCCAGGTTAGTGGGGGGACTTCCCTTTTTTGGGAACCTCTAATTCGCTGTTACAATAAGAGAGACTTAATCTTAAGCTACATTATAAATGCCATCCAACCTAATCTCCCTCACTGAAATTTTGAGAGAGGACATCCATCTTTTTGAGGTCTAAACCATGACTGTAGGTCTAACCAGTTTGGAATAATATCTGACCTTGGCATAGGAACAACTGATGAAGCCAGCAGTTCTCTTCAAATAGTCTTGAAGGAGGCTCCCATCAGATGGTTGGAGGTGTGTTCCCCACTTAAGCAGCAGAGGTCTGGAAGCTAATGTGTTTGGAAAAATAGCTCTTCCCCACAGTTCCACCAGGATATAACCCACTGCATTTCCTTGTGAACTGAAAAAGAACACGCACACTTCCTTTTGTCTTAGAAATTTGCACCTTTGTCTTTATCCAAATTTATACTTTATATTTATTTAATATCAAGTTGATCAGTTAATATTTGGGGGAGGGTCAAAGAACCACTCCTAATCTGGTCCTAACATGTGGAATTAAGTTTCCAGTGATTCAGGGCAGGTGCCATTCATCTCCAGATACTGAAATCGGACGCTTCTTCTCTTTACTAATAAAGGCTCGGTCACTTGTCATAGGATAGGGCTGTTATGGTAACAGCATAGAGGAGGGCGGGATGGAGGATGTGTAGAGAGGGTACATTGTGACAGTAAAGTAAAATGTGACAAGGTAAAGAGCTTTGGGCATGCTTGTTTGGACCTCCATAACCTTGCTCCAGTCTTGAGACATCCATAGCCTATTGCCATGATGAGGCCAAGAAGATCTAGGCCTGGTTCCACCTGCCCTGTCGCCGGCACTCAGGCATTCTTGCTGCATCTGTCCCACTGTGTCTCAATCATTTTACTCATATTTGCTGATTTTTCTCTCAAGGTTTCTGTCAACCCCCCAATGCTATCCTGCTTCCTTCACAACTCCGGCAATCCATCAATCATTAGTTATGCCTAAGCTCTAAATAGAAACAGGGTACCTGCGCAAAGTTAGGACTGTGTCTAGATAGTGGCAGGGTGCTGTCACCTGTTTTTCTTTAGCAGCCCATCCAAACCTGAGCTCCAACCACATAGGATCCCCACAACATGCATAAAACACCCAGCACAGTGCCTGGGACATGTTTCTAGTAAGATTTATAGGAGAGAAGTAAATAGATAACTATCTCAAAATACCAAACCAAATGTACAAAAACGAAGAGAGAAAGAAGAAAGCTGCAACTACAGGGAAGGGTAATTCCAGGATACCTAGGCTGATGTGCTTTGCTGCGTGGATTCCCTATGTGTGTAAGAAAACAAAGACACTAAAAAAAAATCATCAAACACTTTGAAAAGAGCTGGAAGAAGCTTATTTTGTAAAGCCAAAAACAATTCTAAATTATAGCAGAGAGATCTTACTTTTAGAACTTGGCTTTAGGGAAAAACCCCAGGGTTTTACATTCCTTTTGACTTGTTCTCCTTAAATGCTTTGGGAATCTTTAAAACCACCTTTAGAATAAGCTTGTTTTGCCCTGGTCACATGCATACAGGTGGCACTGCAAACAGCAATTACATAATTCCATGCACAGCTCTAACATGAGATAAAGGAAAGTAACACCAAGAGTGAATGAGTGAGTGAGTGTGTATGTACAGGGGTGCTGTTCAGAGAAAGGAGTGTTCTCAGAGTGAGGACAACATGCATGACCGCACATGATCATGGCCTCTGAGAGCAGGGTCAGGGTTCCTCCAGCAGAGGAGCCATGTGTGGTTGTGGGTCTCAAGTTGTCAGGTTTGACCTGATGCTTATCAGCTCTGCAGAGCTACCCAGAAAGCCTCTTGGTCAAACAAAGCTAAGTTTATTAGGCCAAGTGCGTAAAGGAGAACAGCACATTAACAATCTTAGTATTTATGAAAGGGGAAGACGGGGAGGGTATTTGTAAGGTTTGGAGGTCTAGATTTAAGTAGTTTAAGGTGAGTTCCAGTGGGTAACTAGCTGGGATTGGGTGAGTTTTGTGACATGGTTGTTTAGGATTAGCAAGTCTTAAGAAGTAAACTGTTGTCTAAGAAGAAGTTTGCCCAGGTGAACAAAGTCTATTGTTCTCATAGCAGAGCTGTTCACTGAGATAAACAAACTCTGCCTGAATCAATCAGTTTATAAGGATTTCCTAGAAAACACAGGGAAATGACATATTAGATAAACCCTTATCTTTCTGATCAAAATTTTATCATGAAACAAATGAAGTTTTGTGGACACAGGTGGTCTCAGTTTTCTGGTTCATTGTTAAGGTATGAGACTGCAGGCAGTCCCAATTTTCAGGTTAGTGCAAGAATGAGTTACAAGATAATAGAAGACGGAGCCTGAAGGGTGTGTGGTTGAAAGCCACATTGACCTAACTGCCAGGTAGCAGAATAAATAAGTTGTAAAAACCTATTTGAAATCTGTTAGCGGCAATGTTGCTAGCTTTGGTCACCAGCTTTCTATTCACATTGCTACCACCCCAGGTACAGTTTTCTCTGTATTTTTCCCAGAAGTTTTCTAAATGGCCCCCCACACTCTGGTTTCTCTCCTTTCCATCCCTTCTACATGCTACTCTCAGATTACTCTTGCCAACATGTAACTTGGGCGCTGTTACCGCCCACATCACACAGCTCTTGAACACTAGTAAGTAAGCCTTCTGCTAGATCCTGACGCTTCCCAACCCCTGTAGCCTCCTGCATGTCAATGAACACCTGTCGCGCCTGCATACCTCACCCTGAGGTCTGCAGACCTGGGAGGACACTGTGGACGGGATGCGAGGGGTGGCCTCCAAGTTAAGAGGAAGGGTGTGACTTACAAAAACACACTCTGTCGACCTCTGTGATAAAGACCCAGATAGAAACCAACGTGTGATGCTTAAGGGTTTTGTTTTTTTTAATTGTGAGAAGGAGACTGGCAGCATTACTTATAGTTTTACGGCTAATTAGCCTTCAATTATTTGTATAGCATATAAGAAATAACACTGCTTACGTATACGAGAAAGCAGGTCAATGAAATGTGCACTGATATTTAAGGTTTAGTGTAATTTAGATTTTGTCGTGTTTTAAAGCAGCTTTCTAAGCTGTGTTCTCAGTGTACTAAAAACAAATAAACAAAACCCTGGTTTTAAGAAAGGGTGTAAACAAGGCACATGAGTTTTCACTCAATCTTGAATACCAGTTTCTCCCTCGTTATAGGTGAAGTTCTAGGGATGGGACAACTACGTTGTGCCAGGCCTGGCGCCAGGCACTTGACTACACACAAACGTTCAATCCTCCCTGTGACCAGAAGACGTGGCTATTATCCCCCACATTTCACAGAAAAGGAGCCTGGGTGCTCGCACAGGTCAGTATTTAATTTCAGATCTGTTTGACCCCCCATATCCTGTGCTCTTGGAGGCTGAATTTGCAAACCAAATTTCAAAGGGATGCAGCAACTCCATCTCAATTCCATAACAACCTGCCCTAATGTCGCATTGCAGCTCCTTCCTCAAGTGACCAGGTTGCTCACCTTGACCAGCCTTTCACTCACACCTCTCCTCCCCAAGCATAGCAATGCTGCTCCGACTAACACTGCGACTGAAACTGTTCCTCTCACTGCTGGCTCCCCCGCCCTGCCCCGTACCTTGGCTAACACTGAGGGGTACTTTCTCTGGGTCATTTGAGCACTCTACAGACTCTATTACATTGTCTTCTGAGACAGGTGGGGTAGGGTGGGGTGGGCAGGGTAAGGCATTTAGAAAATTATTTCAGTTTAAACCATTGATGGGTTGAATTCTTCCATTTTTTTTCTCGTAAGCATTTGACTTCACAGAGCCAGAGACTAATGTAACTTTCTGGTTCTGACAGCTTTGTCATCTTAAAGTTTTCTTGCAGCTTTCCTTTGTATCAGTATATCTTCCTTAAACCTGGGAAAACCACAGGTCCCACTGTACACAGAAAGGTCTAATTTGCACCTATTGTATTTACATGATCATTAACAGTTTCTTCTTTCATTTGCAAAGTATTTGGTCATCCTACTTAAATCTGCCATTGCAGCTGAAAGGAAACAGCAAATGTTTTGCAAGGCTGTAGGGCTCCCTGTAGGCTGTAACTCTACACTTCTCTCAGAAAGCTTTACCTGGTGGGCATCTTTGCAGAAGTCACGTAGGTCCCACCTGCTTTCTTCTCCTGGGACAGGGAGCTTTGTTCTATGAGTGATGCTGGGTGCGTATGCACAGGGCCTATCTCCATGCTTACCCAGTGGTTATGCCATTTCAGGATAGACTTCATCTTTCTCTTCACAGGATGAAGAAGAGAATGATGTGATTTGCAATTTTTCTAAGAAAAACAAAGAAATATGAGGGCATAGAATTTTCATGCCTCACATCAAGATGAATTTCCCTGCCTAAGGAAAGCCTTCTTTAGAATGCTTCCATCATCCACAACAGTGCACAGGCTCAGCCTGAGGAGTGATGGTGTTAAAAGAACTGATTTGGAAACTGCAACTTGGTCAAACATTAATAAGTTTCTATTTTTTAACTTCCATGTGCAATTAGAAAAATGTTATGCTACTATGGCAATTAGAGAGCAACTATTCCTGATTAGAGGCTTCCTGGAAAGCAAAAGCCCCCTCAGAGACAGTCTAATTGAATGAGGAAGCAAAGTTGAGGATATCTAGAAGGAAAAAATAACTCTTGCTTGGAGGCAGTCTAAATTTATGCCAGTGTCGTTGTGCCTGTCAAACGAATAGATGCATTATGCAACACTTACACAAGGGGGCTTTCTATGATACGGACACTATTTTCAGCAGTCACACACTACCTCACAGTAGATGGCAGAAACCATGTGTGACTCTTGCCTGCACTCTCCTCTGCCTGCCAAAGCCCATGCACAGTGCTGAAACAGGGGTGGCAGTCCATGAGAGTCCGTGTGGCAGCTGACCTGACATGTGGCAAATCAGTGCCACTATCCCTCTGTCAGCGCTGGCCTGTCATTTGGCTGTGCTCACTGGCCACGTGATGCAAGTCAGTGGCAGACTGCTTCATTTAACCAGGCCCTTTGTTGACCTAGCTTCAGGTAATCATCACCCATCATGCACATTTTGACCTGGTCCAAGAGTATGTCCAGTGGCTTGTTGATTTCCAGCTTACACCCTCCTACCAGAAAAGAAACTGCACTGATGCTCTGGGAGAGCACTTCAGATCTGATTATAATTTGTCAGCTTGAGATTTTTCAAAAAGTGCACATTCTAGAGGGGATGGAGACCTGTTTGCATGGCCAACAAATGGACCAATAAGGATATGGAGAACTTCTGGGCATGGTTTTAGCTTGTGGTCTTTAGGGAAGCAAGGGAGGCTCTGGGTCTCACTGGAGAGGAGGGCTCTAAGCAGGAGTGCTCTCAGCCCTCATGATTGGAACCCTGTTAATAAAAACCTGTTTCCTTCAACACTAATAGTTGGGTCATATGTCAAGGTACTAGGTGGCAGAGGCCCTGTTCGCTCAGTAACATTATGGGTCTCTCAGGCCGAAGTCTGAACTGGGAGGCCTCCCTGGGCAGGACTCTCCACACCCAGCAACTGGGTGTGCAAATGCTGGCAACCAGAACTGGAACATCTACCTTCCTAACAGTTTGGTCCAGGACCAACAGGGGCTGAATCAGATTCCTAAGTACTTCCTCAGATTTCCACAATGGGAAACTTCATGGAACCCAGGGCATTTGCTGATATTCAATAAGCTCCAAGGGTAATAAGGTGACTGAGCATAGCACCTGGCTTGATTCCTTACATTACAAGGGAAGGGAGAGCATCAGCGTAGGGCTGAGAATCAGCATCTGGGCACTTCCTTCCAGAAAGCAGCCACTGCCTCAGGTAACTTCTCTCTCTCTTTGGAGCTCCCTGGCATCATCTACATTTGGGGTACTTACTCTTCATCGCCTCGTTGCTGCCACACATTCTCAGGTGTGTGTAGAGGGTAGCCAAAGCAGGTGCTGCTATCAGACAGACATGGGCTCCACATCTAGTTTTGAATTCAACAGCCCTGTGAACTAGGATATCATTTCACATTGAATTTCAGTTTCTTACTAAAAATAGGGATAATGTACCTTCTCAAAGAATTCTATAAGGATTAAATGAAATAATGCTTACCAAGCATTTACCCTAGTACCTGATACCAAGCCCACATCTGATAAATGTTAGCTGATATTATTTGTTAACACGCTATGGCCTCCCAGAAGGCAGACAACATGCTTTTTGTTACTCCTGCTGGACCTAGCATTCTATTAATATTTGTGGATTTGAAGAATACAGATAAGTCCATTGGTGCTAAATGAAGATCTGAAATGTCTACAGATAGGAAGCCCAAAATAAATTAGCCATAAGAAAGATATTTGGTTGGAACCACCCTTCTCCACTTCCACACATGTCTTCCCCTTTCTCTTTTCTTGCATCCGTGTATGTGTGTGTGTGAGTGCGTGCGTGCGTGTGTGCGCACGTGTGTGTGTGTGATTTATTTTCTCCTTCCAGTTTATCTTAGATTTTATGTAGTTAGAATAAGAATAATAACTAATGATTACTAAGTGCTAGCCATGTGTCAGGCATTGTCCTCAGCTTTGCATCTGAATTATGCCAACAAATCCTAGGAGGCATTGGTGTTATCCCTCATTTTAAGGTGAGTAACTGAGAAATACAGAGGTTTGGGGATTTGCCCCAAGTCACATAACTTTAACTTGATGGAAGGAAGAAAGGAAGCCTGGCAGACTTTGTGATCCAAGTACCTCAATTGTGTGTGTAGTGTACTTGTGGTATGTGTACATGTACAGTGTGATGTGTTCATATATACAGATCACATATCGTGTGATGTGGTGGCATGTGTAGTATACATATGATGGTATGTGTGTGGGGGGGTGCATGTATGTATGTGTAGGGAAGGTCAGTGGGGAGAGTGTATATGGCTTGCCAAGACAATCTCATACTCCCTGCAGAAGCTCTGGTTCAGGAGCCCATAGACAGATGGCATGAAGACAGCTGTTGAAGTAACCCAGGAGGTAGCTCATGACGAAGAGCCCTTCTGGTACTTGAAGAGCCATTTATTCCATGTTGATGGCCGCAGCATGGCCAATGCTGTTCAGTGGGGCCCAGTAGATGGCAAAAATCATAAACATCACAAATGTGGTTAGAAAGCTCCGGATGTCACTGGGCCTCAAGCGCAGCCTGCTCTCCAACTTGGCTTTCCTACGGGCCTGGAGCAACAGCACCTAGAGGTGCAGGGGGCTGGGGCTGATGCGGAGGGTAAGCTGTCTACACTCTCCTCCACTGACCTTCCCTACACATACATACATGCACACCCCCCACACACACAATCATATATACATTGTATATGCCACCATTTCACACTCTGTGTGACCTGTGTATATGTATACATCACAATGTACATGTACACACAACCCAAGTGTGCTATACACACACACTCTTTTCTGGGAACTGAACACAGCCACGTTGCCATGTGGGCAGACATGTGGCAGGGTTGCTCAGAGTCCTGTCCTGTGGAATGGGGGTAGGGGCTGTTGGTACTCCCCTGTCTCAGCCTCTGCAGGACTCCCCGCTTTGCCTGCATATTCACCAGCTTCCGAAATGGCCACGCTCCTTTGAATAGAACATTCTCCAGCATCACCACACTCCAGAAAAAGCCTCAGACAACCACACAACCATTAATCAATATGCTTTAGCCATGTTCTGGACCAGCATCCTAGAGAGGAGATAGGACTTAATTCAAAGTACCTGCATTCTAAAACCAATACTCATGAACAAAGCACCAAAAACCTGGAAGACTGGGCAACATGAAGTTCAAGGCATGAGCAGCTCCATTACTAATGTCATTTGTTTTATTCACAAGGTGCGGTACTTTCTGAGCCCCTACTGTGTGCCCAAAAGATAACTTCCTACCAGTAGGGGCACTCAGGGACACAGTGGGTGCTGGACCCAGTGCTTCAAGTCTGCTGGCTGCTTGCCACATGGTGAAGCGCCAGCTACCAGCCTTAGAGTGGCT